TTAGAGAGGGGCCAGAAGGAGAGAATGATCTTTCTCCTAAAAGTAACAGCAAAAGTAAACTAAAGGAAAAACGGCGTTCGAAAGTGGGGCGAAAATGCGGAACGGCTCAAACGGAGCAAATAAATACAAAGCACACTGAAACGGAGTGATTGGCACAGTGACAACAAATTAAGGCAGAGAGAGAGAGAAGGGATTTTTGGCTATGGGAGGTAGTGCGATGATCGCTACTGGCCCTCCCTTTGCCTCCCTTGGGGGTGAAATGCGCTTCCCCTTAATGGCAAGAGAGCCAATTGCAACAATTGCGCAGGCTAAGGAGAATAAAATCAAACCTGAATAAAGCTGAATTAATGCTGATTGAGAGTTAAGAGAATCCAATATTTCCTACTTCGGCCAAGGAGCAAAGAGCAGAACAGCCTGTCTCGCACGAGGCTGAGCAAAAACTGGGGAACGCCCTGGAAGAGTCACATGATGAAGGAGGAGCTTTCCTCAATTCGAGCTCAGCCTAAGCAAGCAGAGACTGAAGCACCTCCCATCTCTGGATGCTCCGAGCAGCTCATAGGAGAAGCACCCTGATACAAATGGTCATGCAGAACACAGTTGATCAACTGCATGAAGACAGATGTGGCCCCTTGCAGTCCAAAAGGCATAACTTTAAACTGGTAGCTGCCCAACGGGCAGTTAAAAGTTGTCTTCCATTCGAACTCCATTACCAAGCAGCGGTGTTGAATTGGGTTAAAGATTGGGTGAAGCTAAGAGACAAGACAATTCTAACACTAGAAGGACATGACCTCCACAGATAGGTTGGCATGCATTTCTGTGGGAGAACAAAAGTAATATACATACCTATTTTAACCACCATTAATAAGGGATTCACTGATTACAACATGGAAGAAAATAAAAAATGAACATTATATGGAAATACCACGATGGCTGTCAACCATGGAGGCCATGATTTACCCAAATAGATTTGATTTAAGGAAAATGGTAAGCTATGGGGAACTATTAGATAATCAAGGGAAATTAAAATCAAATCAAGAACTAAAGGAAAATGGAATCGTAATTGATTGGTGGCCATATTTGCAAATCCAAAATATAAAAAAGATTTGAAAGATTTTGGATTTGATAAAGGGCAAAACCAACTAGACAAAATTTTAATGGGACTGGAACAAAATTTTATAACCAAAATATATAAATACTTACTAGACTTTAAAATGGAAGAGGAAACAGTGGAAGGTACAATGATAGCATGAGCCCAGAATTTTGGATACAGTATAGAATTAGGAGAATGGGAGAAAATATGGAACATAAACTATAAATTACCTATATCTTCAGCATACAAAGAAAATCTCTATAAAATGTTTTACAGATGGTATTTGGCTCCAATGAGATTGGTAAAGATTTATCCCGGTGCAAGCCCAAAATGCTGGAAATGTAAAAAGGTTGATGGTACATTTTATCATATGTGGTGGCTATGCCCCAAGACCAGGACATTCTGGATTCAAATTAAAAACTGGCTACAAGAGATTACTGGTTATCAGATTGAGCTCAGACCGGAAACCTTCCTATTAGGAATTATTAAAGATAGAATTCCAGAAGAAATAAAATATCTATTGTTACATATTACAACAGCTGCCAGAATAGCCTTCGCACAAGTATGGAAAACTCCCAATATTCCTAAAGAAGAACTGATACTACAAAAGTAACAGAAAGCACTGAAATGAATATGTTAATGCTGAAATTGAAAGAAAGAGATGACTGAATACTTCCTAATCTGGAATAAATGGTATGATTGGATAGCAAACAGAACTAAAAAATAAGACAAGAAATTTAACTGTAAGAAGCCTTAAGAAAGTAAAACGTAAATTTGTAAATTATATAACAATTATAGTTAGTTATTAATTAATATTAGATAAATATAGATACAATGTTTTAAGATATTTAAGATAAGAACTTGTATAGATGTCAAGACTGCTGCTGTAACTATGATGTTTTATGTTGAAACAATAGAAACTTAAAAACATATTAAAAAAAAGTTGTCTTCCATTCATCCCCGGGGTGGATTCCAACTCTGTAATAGGCCTCACAAAGGTCTAATTTCGTGAAATTCCAGCCTTTAGCTAACATAGCCAGTAAGTCTTTAATTAACGGTAGAGGATACAGTGGTACCTTACACACCACATTCAGACCTTGGAAATCCACATTTCAACCCCCATCTTTCTTTTCCCGAAACAAGACTGAAGCCATGATATGCACCTGCCCTGGCCAAATAAAGCCTCTTGCCAAATTTGTGTGTGTATTTCCGCATTTCAATCATTTCCTGGGATGTCATTGAATACATGCAGCGTTTTGGTAGCTTCACCCCAGGAATTAACTCTATTGCACAATCTGTAGGTCTGTGGGGCAGTAGTTGGTTACTTCCAGTCTCGTTAAACACATCAGCTAAATCTGTATACTCTTTAGGATAGGCGGGACTGGAATCATTAAGCACCAGGCCGGGGACTGTCAACCCAGCAACATCCTCAAGGAGGGGATCTGGGCCTATAGCCAACCCACCATCCCAACTAATTGTAGGATGCCATTTATCCAGCCACGCCAATCCAAGAATAACAGCCTCAGTCATACATTTTACAACTACGAAAGAAACCTTCTCCCAGTGTTCTCCCATATGTATTATCACTGGCTCTGTTCGATGGGTTGTGGGTTGTCCTCCCAAGACAGAACCATCTACTTGCTCAAACCTAATGGGAATGGTTAATGGTATTAATCACAGTCCTAATTTGTTCACTATTGTGTGTTATGACTCCCCTTCAAAATTCAAACGAACAAAACAGAAAGCCGTTTCACAATTAAATCAAACGGAAAGAAGTCTTACAAGATAACGGCTGGCAGAAACCACAGCATAAATCTTTACTCTATCCGGCAAACCAGTCCTGGCAATAAATCTCCAGTCTCAGGGCTTCTTGCTGTAACGTCCTCACTCAAATAGTCATTTTGTTCCTGGCAAAATGTACCAGCCCAGCTGTGTCCTTTTATACTCATTGAGGCAACGTGCTAATTTACTGACTCGCTCTCCTCATTCGCTCCAGCTGATTTTGCCTTCTCAACCGTCTTCTATTTTTTACATTTAACCACAAATTTTCCAAGTTCTCATCTCCACTAGAAGACTCTCTCAAAACTTCCCTGTCAGCCAGTCCCGGTTGTTGATCAGATAAGGAACCAGAGGAGGTCAAAGGTCCTGACAATTCTAATACATCAGGTCTGTCGTCCTTTGTCACGTCCATCTCCTCATCCTGGTTATCAGTCCAATCACTAAGCCAGGCCGGCTCATATTTTTCTGCCATGACCTCTTCACTTGAACTCATATCAGTCACAGAAGCTGAATCCAAGCCCGGAGCCACAACAATTGTGTATGTGGTTAAGCACCGTGTGCACCCCGAATCTATCAAAACACTGATTTCCATAGTTTGATTTGTTCCCAGGTTAGTAAGCTTGATTGGTATTATAAAAGGAGGGATAGGCTTACTTACCATTGGATCATCTTCATCCTCCTCCTGGTTAGCTGGCTTTTTGGCAGTGGGTATCACCACCTCTACCAACCGGTCAGGTTCTATACTGGCCTCCAATTGTCCCACTGCTCAGGAGCGTTCTGGAGACTGTCTAGAATGTCCAACAGATCCACTGAAGCCACGGCCCATTCCTCATGGAGGTTGTTTCTCCACTCGTAATGGAGGTATTGGATATTCAGCCACCCAATGTCCTGGCTGGTTGCAATGATAACACCTGAACATAGCACCCCTCCTTGGCGATTCTTGGATAATCGGAGGTCTGGCTAATTGGTTGGTTTGAGTAATGGACCCTATACGCCAGTGGTCACCAACCAGTGGGCCGGGGACCACTGGTGGTCTGTGAGAAAATTTTGGTGGTCCGCAGAGAAATGTCACCCAAAGCAATTAATTCAGACTGTGGGAACAGAAGACTGCGCTGCCCACATGGCCCGCGGGAACACAAGGCTTGCATCGCTTGCATTGCAAACAACATGAGGTAGTGAGGGGATGGGAGAAAGGGGAACTCGCCCCACTCACCTCACCTGGCCATCGGGCTGCTTCTTTCTGCTTCTTTCTTCTTCTGCTTTTGGCTGCACGCAAGGAAAGCAGCAGAAGTCTTTCCCTCCCTCAAACCACAGCAGAAATGAGTCTTTGGGACCATGCAAGGCCTCCTGCTTCAAGAGGCTACGCCAGCAAAGACTCATTTTTGGCGGAGTTTGGGGGAGAGAAAGAAAGAATTATTCTGCTTCTGCTGCTTTCCTTACATGAAGCCAAAAGTCTCTCTCCCTCCCCCTGAGAATGGAGCTGGAGATGGTATCCTGCAATCCCAAATAAAGAATGATCGATTGGTAGGAAAACAGGGTGGGGAATTTTTCTGCAGAATATTTTTGGGATTTTCCCAGGGTCTTTGGTCCGCAGGATTTAAAATTTTGAGTTTGGTGGTCCCTGAGGTCCAAAAGGTTGGCGACCTCGGCTCTACGCTGCCCAGCACCTGAGTCACACCATATTTTTAAATGACATAGTCCAGAGCCCAATTCTATGACCGGTCTTGTAATCAAGCAGGCAATCCTCGATACAAACAAACCTGCCCTAGTTCCCTATCCAGTCCTTCCCTAAACAAATGAACTAGCATACATTCTGGACAAGCCGGGCCCCTTACAGTGGCTCTCCTAAAGTCCTGCACATATTCCCTTGCTTGCCTGCCGCATTGTTTCACTGCTAGAAGATCGTCCTCCGCCTGTTGTATCCTAGAACTGTCATCAAATCAATGTCTCAGTGCCTCTAGAAATACCCCCACATCAGTCAAGGCAGGAGATCTCTGTGCAAATCTGCTGCCCATTCGCCTGCCTCTCCCTCGAGCACACTGGTTATAGCCACCACCATGGCCCAATGGGAGGGGTAATGTTTCCCATACAGGCCTAGGTGGTTAATGATTTGCCCTAGAAATACAGCCACACAATTAGCATTACCATCAAAGGTGGCATGTATTGGAGGAGGACCCTGCCTTCCCTGTGGCATGTTGCTCTGTGCTGTAGACCAAGTTCTTATAACGTCCTGATGATCCCATGGCTCCAATCTTGCATACTCCCAGGGTCAGATGTCCATCTGCCTGGTAGACCCGTTTGGCTAGGTGGCACTGTCACTGTATTATAAAAACACTGAATGCAAGTCCTGACATTCCATAGGTCAACTTACATCCACCCCCAGTGTAAAGCTATCAGCCTGGAGCTCCTTAAAGATTTTCCCAGCACCACCACAGGTTTTCCTCTGACCACCACCTATTCCTGGCGATTCCTGCAGGGACACCTCTCCAAACTGTGTCCTCAAAATGTCCAGGGTGGCGCTACCAGGGGCCATCCACCCGCTGTCATCTATCCCTGGCCACCTCCGCACTTTCCAGTCCAGCTACACTGAATATTCCGCTGAGAACACTAGTCTTCTATACTCACCTCAGTCAGCTCAGGTGGCTCACTTAACCTGACTGACGTCCTGGTTTTCAGGCTCACAGCAGGTGGCAGAGCGGGATTTGTGGGTACGATGGATGGTTTGTCCAACTCAGCCTCTCCTTTCCCTCCCGGAGCCTCCCTAATCACCTCTTCCTCCGTCGCAGCTGTTGGCACCTCTGGGTCCATTCCTTCCACCATGTCCCCCAAAATCCTCAACAAACGATGCAATAAATGGATGAGTGCTAACCTTCTGTTAGCTGGTCTTCTGGACGTTAGTAGACCTGAGATACAAATCCACAAACCAACATACAGAGATGTAGGTAGTCATTTATTTTGTACATGTAACTCACATCCCATCCGGCAGTAACGGTTTGAAATCCAAACTAGGTTAGCACTGGAAGCATTTGCCTTCCAGTGCAATTATAGCATTACCCCACCCTCCTAATCGCAGCTACCTCCTGCGGACCACCCTGTCCTAAATCCCCACATAACAAACATTCCCTAATATAGCTAATTAGGCTTTTATTCCCATATCCCGCCTCCGCAGCCTATAACGCTCTGCATCCTATCTACCACCGTCCCATGAGAACCCTGCCATAACAAACATCTATCCCCCCCTCCACAAAGCATCCAGCAATGTCCTTGGGGAATCCCTTGTGCAGCCTCCACATCCCAGGTACCAACGTGAGGCAGTGCTGTGAGGCAGTGTTGCGAGGCACCATTTGGGATGCCCCATTCAGCCATCAATTCCCACTGATTGGGTTCGACGTTGCATGTTGGAGGGATCCAGGTGTAGAGCTCTACTGCTGACGGGCGACTGCATTTGGAGCCCAACAGGAAGAAGAAATCAAGACTATAGCAGCGACAACTGAGAAAGAAGAAAGAAAAATACAGAAGATAAATAACGTTAGAACTTTTGGTATATTGGATATATCTCTGACATATTAATATTATTGTTAAGCTACTAACATATTCATTATTTTTATTATTAATATTACTGTTATTGGTATTACTACTAAAATAGAACAAAAAAAGAATAGAAATAGAATTATTGCTTATAGAGCTTATACGAATTGGATGAGATTGTGATACTTTAAAACAAATACTTATATATCTCTTAAAGAATGTAAATCAAATAATATTCTCTGTTTAGTGCTGTCTAGGACTTTATAGATACTCTTATTGTTATTGGATATTACGTATAGTAAGCAATTTATAATAATATGAGATAAATAGATTGAACAGACCAATTAATATAAAGATTGAAGAGATAGAATTAGGATAAGGCTGGTGAATCTGTGATAGAACGGATAAGTAAAAAAGGCTAGAGTGGAGGAAGGATATAATAGAGGGAAGAAGAGGTGGTTGTATTGGTTGAAAAAGATATTAAACATGACAAGCGCCACAAATTTAAGATTGGAACAGGAAGAAAACAAATGGCACAGACTTCGTTGAACACATCATTAGCGACCTCAAGTTCACCTAGTCAGAGGTTGATAGAAGAACTATTACAAAGAGAGGTCAAATTCGTTCAAAGACTTACAGGCTATGATGCAGTCAGTACAGGAAGCCATGTTGAGAAACCATGAAGAAATGAAGAGAGAGATTGGGGAGGTACGAAATGACACTGGTGAACTTAAAAGATACAAAAAATAGATGGGAGATTGGAAATGATGGATGGGAGATTGGAATCCTTTCAACAACAAATTATGAAAAATGAACATAAATTACAGGAAATGGAAGGAAGAATGGAAAGAGAAGAAAAAAGAGTGGAAGAAATCAATGAGAAACTGACCAGGGCAAATAAAGAATTAGAGGCAACAGTTATGAACTTAGAATCGGAAAAAGCGGCCCACTATTTACACTTTCAAAACATAAAAGAAGAAAAAGGAGAGGTTCTATTGGAAATAATGGTGGAACTATTGGCGAAAGCTTTGGGAATAGGAAAGGTCGAAATGCTGATCGAAATGGATGAAGTTTATAGAATACAGACTAATTATGCAAGATGCCACAACCTACCGAAAGAAATTCATGTAAGATTCATCAAAAAATCAATCAGAGACGAGATCCTCTATAGAACAAGAGATGACCCGTTAAGAGTACAGAGGGAAACAGCTAATAGTATTGAAACAAGTGCCAAAAAGAATCAGAGACCTTCGGAAACCATACCAATTTTTGACATCTAAACTGACTAGGCACAATATTAATTTCAGAAGGTTGACCCCAGAGGGAATAATGATGTCTTGGCAAGAAAAGAGGATTAGAATAGATACCCTGGAGAAGGTGGAGGAGTTTTATAAAGACATCTTTAGCAACAAAGAAGTAGAAGAAAGAGAAGCAGAAGGAGAAAGAGAACAAGGATTAAGAACACTGGCCAGAGAAGAGAAAGGATTACAAGTGAGAGAAAGGGAAAATGGAAAAAGAGAAGATACTGAAAATAAAGAGAAAGAAAAGAGAACTGAGAGAAGAACCAAGAGAAACCAGAATAACAAGGGATATTAAAACTAGCTAAAAGTAAGGAAATGCAGGAAGAAATATGGATGTTATCCTTGAACATAAATGGACTGAATTCACCTCAAAAAAGGAAAAAAAACTTTCAACAAACTTAATAAAATGAATTTGGATTTTATAGGGCTCCAAGAAGTACACATAAAAGAACAGCACAAATAGCTATTGAACTACCCCAAATTGGGGAATGTGTTTACATCATTAGCGCAAAATAAAACGAGGAGTAGTAATATATATCAAAACAGCAATGTCAGCTAGGCAAATTTACAAGGATAATGAAGGCAGGATACTGATTGTAGAAACAATATTAAATAAAAAATGTGTGATGCTAGTAGGAATATACGCCCCAAACACCGGGTTAGAACAATTTTACAAGAAATTCTATAACTTTCAGTGTGACAATATCTGTATTATGGGAGATTTTAATGCAATTACTAACCAAAAACAAGGGATTAGAACATTACCTAAAATATTTTTTAAGGTGGCAGAGGAATTGGGAATCCGAGATATCTGGAGAAAGAGGAATCAAAAGAAAAATCAGTATACGTACTATTCAAGCAGGCACCAATCATGGTCCAGAATCGACATGATTTGGATGTCGATGGAATTACAACAAGAGGTAGAGGAGGCAGAAATAGATGGGCTGATCATAATCCATTAAAAATTATATGGAAGGGGAAGAAAAAGAGAGGTAGATGGACCCTGAAAAGATCGATCCTAAATCATAAAGAGTTTAAACTGAAAACCGAAGAACAATTGTGTTTGTTTTTCCAAGACAATAAAAAAGATACAAATACACAAAACCTATGGAACACTACAAAAGCATATATGAGGGGAGTGGCTATAGCGTATATGGTGAAGGAAAAGAAAAAGAAAAAACAAGAAAATTTAGAAGATGAATTTAGAAGATTAGAAGAAAAATAACAGAGAACCACAGAGAGGCAGCCTAAAACAGAAAATGGAACTAGTCAAAGATAAAATGAACATTTGTTAAAAAGGAGAGTTGGCACAACAAATAAAAAGGAACAATCAAAGCTAATTTGAAAATGCCAACAAAGCAGGGAGATGGCTAGCATATAAATTAGAAAAAAAAAAGGCTGGATTAGTAAATTACAGAATGAGAAAGGAATTATGTGTTGTCAAAGTGAAGAGAAAAACAAAATAGTCCAAGAGTATTTTGAAAAGCTATACGATAGTGATTAATGCCCCATAGAGGAAAAGCTAATACAATGTCTAGAGAAAGCAGAGCTGCCAAGAATCACAGAAGAAATAAAGAATATATTAAATGCAGAAATAAAAATGTCAGAACTAATTGAAACATTGCAAAAACAGAATAATAAAACGACACGCCCTGACGGACTACCGGTAGAAATATATAAAGAATTCCAGGAACTTATTAGAAGTGTTTAATGCAGCTTTAAAAGTATCAAAAACACCAGCATCATGGACCAAAGCAAACTTAGCATTAATACCAAAAGAAAGTGCGGATTTAACAATGGTTAAAAATTACAGACCCATATCATTATTATTATTTTTTAATTTGTATTGGTTTTTAAGACGAACATAGACAAAACATAAAAACATCAAGCCATCTTCCATATATATACATACAGTGTGCCGGTTGGTTTACAAATTGTTTTGTGCTTCCATTTTGTAGTCTTCAATTACAATTACGTTGTATATATTCTCATATTTTCAATCAAATATTAAATACATTAATATCATTGCTAATCAATCATTTGACTATACTTTTATTCATTCATGTTTTACGAAATAATCATATTTTACTTAATTTGTTTTATGACAGTTCATAAATCCTCCTCTTATTCTAGCATCTTGCAAAGGCTTTAGCTTTATTCTCGCTTTCTTACCTTGCCATATATATTTCAACACAATTTTATTTAAATCTTCAAAGTAATCTTTTCCAAGCCTTATTGGAATTGTTTGGAACAAATATAAAATTCTGGGTAATATATTCATCGTGATTGTTGATATTCTCCCTATTAATGAC